ACTTAATATGGAATAGGCAGATCCGTATCTTGTTTTTCCTTAGCCAATTAAAGGTGCAGGAGAGCCCAGTTCTCACTGTGAAGGCAGTAAATGCTGGTGGGGAGACTGATCTTTCATCACTCCTGCACCTCGGTTGGCATAGACGCTCCCTGCTGCAGCTGTGGAGCTAGGAGCCATGGAGGGAAAGATCACCACTGGCACTATTTGGAAATGCTTGTGTAAAGTGACATTAAAAAGCTCAATGAATAAAGCAGTGGTGATAATCCCAGGATGTATCGCTACCCGTCACAGTTATAGGACAGACGTAATTCACTGTTAATAGTTGGGCAGGTTGCTTTGAGCCGCTTCTTCACTGAGACAATTTCATCCTGTCATAACCAGGGGAGTCCTTCCTCAGGATGAAACATTTTTTGGTGAGGTGGTCAGGAATAATGTCTGCACCACTGCCATTTTTTCCACAGTAGCTAGGAATTCCTTTTTAAAAAAAAATCAGCAAAATAAAATCAAAACTGCTAAAGTGACTTTTGAGTCCAGCTGCAATTTAAATGATAATTTCTAGAGCACGGACACTGAGGAAGGATCCATTTTCCTCAGAGTGAGGCAGAGAGGTGGGTGGGGAGTAGAGAGAGCAAAACTCTCTACCAGTAAGTGACAAGGAAAGTGAAAGGGAGATAGCCCCTTGTCTTGGACCACCTAAGTCAGATCACCAACCAAATGGCAAAAGCAGTGCCGATTTAAAAATAGGACCCAAATAATTTTTCAGCATCTTAAATCCTACCACTGAGGCGTGCAACAAGAAACCAGGTATACTTATAGGCAGACACAACTGTGTCCAAGAGTTAAAGTTTCTGGCCTCTGGCTTCACGCTGGTCAAACATTGCCCAGATGCTGGAAGGTATGTCTTGTTAGCCCCTAAAAGCATAACAGAGCCTGCTTGTTTCGCCTGCGAGGGAGTGTGCGCGACGGTTATTTGTCCAAGCTAATTTCCTTTTTCACCACCACCCATTCCTAATTCAGCTTTCCCTCCCAGAATTAGTTCTACTGAGCACAGTGGCAAAGCAGAACCTCTTCCCTCTGGCCTTCTGTTTATCATCTTCTGTCAAGCGCATGCTGTTTCCAGGCAACGGAAAGGAAGTGCCAACTAGGGCCACGTGGTTGTGGCCAGTCATTTCGTGTTAGCATCCTGGGGCAAAGTCTCATTTATTTCTAATCTAATGTTTCTAGGGGAACGACACAGTCAGCGTGTCCCGTACTCCGTGCCAGTTTAGACAAAACTGCCTCTCTTGGTTTCTACTTTCCTTGGAACTAGTTCTCATAAGGATTGTGTTTACAGTTTCTGGCTGAATATTTATTAAGTTTCGTAATTTTTTATTTATTTTCTTTTTAAAAAAAAAATAATACACAGCTTAGTCCGAGATAGACTTTGTTCTTTTCATTTCGTTCTACTGATAAAACGTGCCACTCCAAAACTGTGTAACACATTTGGAATATAGTTTGATACAGATTTAGCCCAACATTTTTCAAGTAGCCTTTTGTTTGGATATGGTGTTTTAAATGGTGGTGGGGGGGAGAGGATAGATTCTCGCCCCCAACCCCGCCCACTTCCTCCAGTCTGGCATTTCTCAAGCCACATTTATGGACTCATTCTCACAATCCTGCTACTCTGTGTATCTCCCCCCCCCCGCCCCACCCAATGAATGAATAGAGCTTCAGTGCTGCAGCACTAGAGTGCTTTTAATAATGCTGTTTTCGAGGATGTAAGAAAATGAAAAGAATGGAAATGGAAGAATAGTTGTTAAGCGCATTAGGACGTAATCAGTTAGCATTAAAATTAATTCTGCGTGATTCATGAATCTGTAAGAGGACAGGGGAGATATAAGGTCACAACTACACCGGTGATTTTTCGGAGGTAAAATGGAGAATTCATGAGCCTTGACCTGCTTCTTCATTAGGATGTTGTCAATAAGCATCTGCATCTGGGTTTAACAACTAAGTATTTTTTTAAAGAAACTGCCTGCTTTTTAATTTGCTCTTATATTTCCTTCCCTCATGAGCAGTGTTAGAAACTCAGACATACAGTGGTACCTCGCAAGACGAATGCCTCGCAAGACAAAAAACTCGCTAGACGAAAGGGTTTTTGGTTTTTTGAGCTGCTTCGCAAGACGATTTTCCCTATGGGCTTGCTCTGCAAGACGGAAACGTCTTGCAAGTTTGTTTCCTTTTTCTTAACACCGTTAATACAGTTGCGACTTGACTTCGAGGAGCAACTCATAGAACGCAGTGTGGTAGCCTTTTTTGAGGTTTTTAAAGACTTTGGTGATTTTTGAAGCTTTTCCAAAACTTTCCCGACACCGTGCTTCACAAGACGAAAAAAATGGCAAGGAGAGAAAACTCGCGGAGCGAATTAATTTCGTCTTGCGAGGCACCACTGTATAAGCTAGGTGCCAAATGGCTTCTTAAACCAGGGTTACAGTTGCCAAAACAGAATGCCTTGTTGCCATTTGCGGGGCCAGGCAGATCGAAAGTTGTATTTTCCAATATGACTTTTTGGTTCCTGAAATTCATTCTGATTGTGCAGAGAAAATAAAATGGATAGAATTCTACAGGATGTGTTGCTTGTGTATGAAAACAGGCCAGATTCAAGGATCCTCAGGCATGCTCCTCCAGATGGTGGAGACATCAGGTGCCATCCTGGTACCCAGGCATCTTCACTTGGTCACAAGTGGCTGATAGCCAGGTGCAAAATGCGCCTGATGCCTGGCGAATTTTGAACACTGCTCATGAATCCAATTCGGTCAAGGAATCACTCCCTCTTGTGAAAATTCTGCCTTTTGTGAGTTAGGGTTGCTCAGAATGAAACTTCTACTGCTTACAAGCTTGTCTGCCATTATCATACATGATAAGTATTCTGGCATAACAGATGCTCCTATATAATATGTGCTGCTCTGTTTCTCCTAATTAATTAGTCCCAGCTCACTGTGAAATCTAGTTAAAATGTGCTCTATGGATACACTTGCATCTGCCCATTTTCATAAGGGTGTTTCAGTCTCCCTCTACACATTGGCCATGATTTGGATGCTACTTGTGCTTTAGATCCTGGTTTATATTCCTAGTTCCATAAACCATATTCAGCTTGAGTTTCCCAGTTCAGACCTAACCTAATACAAGCCAGGATCTCAGCACTCAAGCCAGCATGCAATGGCAAGGAGAAGGCCAAGGGTAAAGCTTGTAGCTGTGGTGCTAGTCTATGGCATTGTAATACCTGGTTCGAAACCTATGAACCCAACCACTATAGTGACATTACCCATCTGTTTGAATTCAGATTCCTGTAAATGGAAGGTGGTGATTTAAAGGGTGAAAGAAAGTGATGGGAGATTTTCTATTTCCATGTCCCTTCACTTTGAAGTTGCATCTTCCCTTCCAGAATTGGAGCCAGACCAGGGCTGGTGGCTCCAAGGAGGAAAATCACAACTGGGGAAAGGGTTATGCAAGCTCCCTCTGCCTGCTCATTAAAGCACACAGTTTATAGGAATTAAGAAGCATCTTGCTTCTAACACACCAATTTTGTCACTATCACGTCTAGATCACTGCATAGTCTAGGTCACAGGTGGGCTCTCTGTAACCCCAGAGCTACACGGGACCTTCTGCCTAATTTTATCTGGTCCTCAGCCTAATTTCAAAAGCCCTCTGCAAGTGATCAGGCCTTTTGGTAAGGAAAAAGTAGAAGACAGATGGATCGCTAGATACATAGAAACATGCAGAGATACATAGATTGATACATAGCTAGATACATAGATATGTTTATTGTTGTTTAGTCGTTTAGTCATGTCTGACACTTCGTGACCACATGGACCAGAGCACGCCAGGCACTCCTGTCTTCCACTGCCTCCCGCAGTTTGGTCAAACTCATGCTGGTAGCTTTGAGAACACTGTCCAACGATCTCATCCTCTGCCGTCCCCTTCTCCTTGTGCCCTCAATCTTTCCCAACATCAGGGTCTTTTCCAGGGAGCCTTCTCTTCTCATGAGGTGGCCAAACTATTGGAGCCTCAGCTTCAGGATCTGTCCTTCCAGTGAGCACTCAGGGCTGATTTCCATCAGAATGGATAGGTTTGATCTTCTTGCAGTCCATGGGACTCTCAAGAATCTCCTCCAGCACCCTAATTCAAAAGCATCAATTCTTCGGCGATCAGCCTTCTTTATGGTCCAGCTCTCACTTCCATACATCACTAATACATAGTTATATGGATACATTAATCAACACATAGATGGATACATAGATACAGATACATAGATGGATACATGGTAACACAGACAGGTAGGTGCATCGATGGATACAATTTTGGAATATAGTGGTACCTCGGTTTACGAACTTAATCTGTTCCTGAAGTCCGTTCTTAAACCAAATTCGTTCTCAAACCGAGGTATACTTTCCCTAATGAGGCTTCCCGCTGCCGGTGCCCTTCCACCATTCGGCTTCTGTTCGTAGACCGAGGTAAAGTTCACAAACTGGAACACTACTTCTGGTTTTGCAGAGTTTGTAAACTGAATAGTTCATAAACCGGGCTGTTCGTAAACTGAGGTACCGCTGTACTAAGGTAGCAGAAGGAGGGAGGAAAACAGGGATGAAAGAAAGAGAAAGGGCTCTGACCTGCCAGTCACTGAATTTGGCCCTGCTCATAGCCAGAATTTTTCCAACAGATCCCCCTGGATAGAATATACAGCTGTCCATCCCCGATTTCTACGGCCATATGTTTGGTGGCTGTTCAATATCAAGCTGAGGTCAGAGTTAGCCCTCCAGAGTCTTGCTATTGAAGTGGATTGTTCTGCTAAAGCAAGAGCCATGCATGTCAAAATGAAACACATATATAATTTATTTCATCTGTCAAATGTTAAGTGCCTTTGTCAATGGGAGAAAGAATGTGTAGTTCCGTTGTTTTTTTTAATAGCACAATGGTTTCCATAGCAAACTGACCATTGCTTCTTATTTCTTTTCCTGTAGGATCACATGTCAAAAGAAGAAGGTAATCAGTGCACAGAGGACGCTGACAGAAAGGCCAAGATGCAGAAGACCCAATTGTTTGTGCAGAAAGGACCTCACCTGATGGAGGAAACCTCTTTGGAAATGTCAGGAACGCTTATGCTTATGACTTGTAGTCCACCAGCTGCTAAGATATGAAACAGATGTCTGGTGAAGAGAGGAGCTCTCATCTCATGATCAGCAGAAGTGGAGTATGGGATCTTCAGCTAGCAGAATGCTAGGCAAAGCTACCTCACCAGTATCTGTACATAATGAAGCAAGTTAACTTTGGTTTGTTTCCCTTGGTTTTATAGTTTCGAGATGTTCCCTCCTTTTCCGCTGTGCCTGTATAGTCACCTCCACCAGAGACCTGAAAACCACTTGGGGAAAGGGAACAGCCATTTGGTCCAAACAGGAGTATATGCCACACACCCACCCTATGTTGTTGAAAGATTCAAATATGGCAATGGAAATAGCTGTGAATTTTCCCAATGGCCTCTGCATCTCTTATGCCTCCTCTTTCATTGCCGATTTAATGATTCAGTGGGAGTTCAGGATGCCCAGATGATCAACGGGAAGATTGGAACAAGAAGATTGTTTTGTTGTTGTTGTCCTGATGTATCAATAAAATCATATTTTTTTTAAAAAAAAAGAAAATTGGACTATATATACCCAGTGTTGGGGGCCCAAAGAATTTAAATCTGTTCCCGGGGAATTAATAGTCAGTTTTACAAATTTTACTGTGAGTTGTCACATGGAAACCCAGGAAATACAAATTGTCATTCCTCTGTCAAAAGGAAATTATAATGTCACATATACTTATACCGAAGAGTCCATCTGACATACAAAAGACAGCCTCATGTAAGCATGGATAAGCATAGGAAGTTTTTTATGCTTCGTGTTTTAAATATTTTGTTGGGAGCTGCCCAGAGTGGCTGGGGCATACTAGTTGGATGGGCATCATATAAATAGAATTATTATTATTATTATTATTATTATTATTATTATTATTATTATTATTTTACTGGAATAAGGTGAGAATGCATTAGAACTGTACCTTTTCTAAGTGAGGTTGTAAGAGAGAGGAAAGTAAATTTCAGCTTGTAAAGAAGCTGAAAGCAGCCTTCTGCAACCCCCATCAGCCTCAGACATTATGGACAGCTGTCAGGCATGAGGGCAGAGGCATTTTTAGGGTAGTTGCACTGGACACCGGCACCACAGGGGGCACTTCAACAGTGATGTTGAACGGAGCACAAAAAGGCTCCATTTGGGAGACCAAAATCTGCCATTGATGAAGGGAGTCTATTTGGGTTTTTTTATTCAAAGTGTTGATCCTGACCTTTAAAGCCCTAAATGACCTCGGCCCAGTATACCTGAAGGAGTGTCTCCACTCCCATCGTTCTGCCCGGATGCTGAGGTCCAGTGCCGAGGACCTTCTGGCGGTTCCCTCACTGCGAGAAGCTAAGCTACAGGGAACCAGGCAGAGGGCCTTCTCAGTAGTGGCACCTGCCCTGTGGAATGCCCTCCCATGAGATGTCAAAGAAATATACAACTATCAGACTTTTAGAAGACATCTGAAGGCAGCCCTGTTTGGGGAAGCTTTTAATATTTGATGAATCATTGTATTTTAATCTTTTGTTGGAAGCTGCCCAGAGTGGCTGGGGAAACCCAGCCAGATGGGCGGGGTATAAATAATAAATTATTATTATTCATTTAACAAAATGCATTTTGTAGGAAAAACTCTGAGCGGTTTAAATAAAAGATTTAAATTATCAATGTAAAAGCAGGTATTTTAAAATCAACAATAACTAAACAAAGAACTAAAACACCAACCAGCTCAGTTGGTGAGAGCCTGATTGCATCAAGGCTGCAAGAATTTAAAACAACTGGTCAGCAACAACAAAAATACTACAAAGTAAATAAGAGAAAGAGGGGGAGTGGTTTCAAAATAAAAATACCATAAAAAGCAAAATACAGACTCGTACCAATGTTAGTCATACCCATAATGACTAGGTCCATTAATATCAGAGGGTCTGCTCTGAATAGTCATTGGATACAGCCCAATGTGTGTCAGGGCAGAGCCCAAAATATCTGTTTAAATTGGTAACTGAGTTATAAAAGGGCGTGAATGCAAAATAATCTCTTGGCTTTATACAGGTTTTCTGACAGATCTCTTGGCTTCTCTCCTGGGTACATGGAAGAGTTTCCTTTGTGGTGGAATTATATGTTTCCCCATCGAGTGAGTTGACCTGAGCGTTTCATGATTACCAAGAGTTCTGTTGTGGCTTGCTGGGGATACTGTTAAGGGATCATACAGCTGTTTAGAATGATTATGGGAAGCAAAAGTATGTGTTTTATCGTGCATTTGCCAGTGGCGTATTCAAGGGCAAGGTGGGCAACAAGCTATTAGAAATGCTGTGCTATTTCTCCTATGACGCCCTTCTGTGGAAAAGGATCTGAAGTTCCTGGTTGGTGAGCATACACTTTCAAATGCAGAAGGTCCAGTGATGAAAATGTTCCCTTGCAAATGTGCGTTTTCTGTACTACCGAATAGCAAAATACACCAAATCCACACATCTCAAAAGAATGTGGGGTAGTTAATGTGCTCAAAATTGAGTCACTTCTTTATTCATGATACATTCCTTTAAAAAAGCCAAACCAGAGCTCCATGCAGATGGTTGCTTTTCAAAAACTTGCAGAGCCCTCTCAGTTCGCAGTCCACATGCTTACTTTTCATGGCTCCAGCCGTGATATCTGGTTGTCATGAACTGGCAGGATGACGGAGAAGGCAGAAGAGGATCCCGACGAGGGGTGTAGCTGGGACTGGGACACACTGGCCAAGCGAGGGATGGGGAAGGAAGTACTCACAGGATGGCGGAGGGTGGTGAGGGATGGGCATCAGTGCACAGGAACCAGAGCAGGAGGACCAATCACTAGAGCCACAAATATGGCAGGCTCTGAGGCGTAAGGAGCTGTGGGAGTGATGCTCTAGGAGGCTGAGACAGGCAAGGGCCCACAGCCCAGCTCCCTAGCGGGCCAGGTGGGGCTCGCTAGCTTTGGGAAGAGGTATGTGATTCCTCAGCTGGAGTCGACTCAGAACAGGTGAGGGTCACCTGCCTCATCGGGCCAGAGGCTGCAATCAGGCCAAGTATAAAAGGGAAGCAGAGCTGAGGGACTGTGTCTGCTCAACTGCCCAGGTTGGTATGGATGTTCCTGGACCTCTACAGGACTGTCCTCTGGGTTTAACTCTGGACTGTATCCTGACTGCTGGACTTCAGACTTGGCTACTTGGATTGACCTTGGACTGCCTGTGGCCAGGGGTTTAGGACACTGCTCAAAGCAGTTTTAACATACCTCATATAGAGCTTTGAGCCCAACTGTGAAAATGCCAGTCCCAGAAGTATGATCAGCACTTCAGCAAATTGTTGCTGGTTACTGCTAGATAGTACGCATGGTGATCAATTTATTTCAATATTCAATTTTTGGTTTTGACTATTGCTTACCAAGGTTTAACATGGGAATTAAATTTCAGATTAGTGACATATTCTCAGCAGATTCCCAGCAATATTTGTTAGCATTGTTGTTGCATTCCTTGAAAGAGACTCTTGATAGTCAAGTCTGCTCTTCCCTCTAGGCTGTGAATTTTCCTTAGACTTTCCTCCATCCTGACACATCATCTTAGCTGGACAAAGTCTTTCCTGACCTTTTAATGTATTTTCCTGCTGTGATAGTCCTCTTATGGGTTGTAATCCCCATGTGAATTCCACTATGATCCACTCTAGGCAGGTGGAATAAAAAGTGGAATAAAAGTGGAATAAAAACACTATATTGGAAGTAAACACAGAACAACCTCCACTCACTGTATGCACTACATCTGACTGAAGGTACATGATGCAACCAAGGAGTTCTGGCTTCAAACAGTACTTGGGGATAGAAACTGCCTGTGTGTGATGCCTTGAGTTCTAACATGGAAGAAAGGCGATTAGAAATGTAATAGTTCTGACCAGATGGAGATAATGATTTGTGGTTGCCATTCTGCTCTGCTATCGATGATCGGTACATACAGCAGGGTTACCAGTTCTGCATTACATTATCATGATGTTTTAAGTGATTTGTCCTTTTATGAAGTATTGTGCAATTCATTCTGAGAGTTCCTTCCAGGTCAGTATCCGACATCATGTGACACCATTGAATGATGGTTCTTTCAATTGGAAGAGTGTAGATTTCAGAGTTGTTTGAGGCATGCAGTATTCTTTTTGATGGACACTTGATCCTTGGTGCACAAAACTCAAGTTTCTGGTACTGCCTGCCACGTTTGCATCACTGCGGTTACCTTTGAACTAACATGACCTCAAGCAGGGCTAATAACCAGCGCTACGTGCATCTTTGCTTTGAGACGAGAGATCACCAATTGTTACAGCGACTCTGGAAGTCTGAGATCCTTTTTCAAAGCCCTTCCTTGCTGTGAGCATGCTGGCATGCACACACAAGCTGTACCTGTGTAGACTTGCCCAATATAGCTGGTGTTTTTATTCAGCATCATACCCAACTGAAATGGAGGAAGATTCCTTCAGGGACAGCACTGTATGGTTTGATCTCTTTCCTTCCCTCTTCAATGTCAAGGCCCGCCAACACCCATTGTTCATTGAAGAAGACTGCATCCCTTCCTGTACAGCATGGTAATGAACAATTTCTACAAAGGGAAAGGCTCTTTTGCAGAGCATATCAACTGCACAATCTCAGCTATTGCAGGCTGCCTGCTCCTCCAGGTTCATCTGCTTGGCAGGACTGCAGGGACTGTAATGGCAGCAGTGCAAATATATGTGTGTGTGTGTGTGTGTGTGTGTGTGTGTGTGTGTGTGTATGTATATATAAGAATCAGAGGCATCAGCTGCATGGCAAACACATGCAAGGCAGAAGTTTCTGTTTTTTTAATAATGATTTTTATTAAACCTTCCAAATTATTACACAACTCCAATCATATATATCTTTTTGTTGTTGTTATACATTTTCTTCCTGACTTCCTGTCCCTCCTTCCCTGATGTTTATTTTTATTTCCCCTTAATCAGCTGCATTAAAGCACATTTTCTACCCCCCCAATCCATTCTCTATGTCCTTCAGTTGCTCATATCTCAAATCCTGCATATGTTTTCATATAAAAATGATAATTTGATAGGTGGTCCACCAATGGTCTCCATTCTTCTATTAAAAGATCAGTTTGCCCTCTTATTTTAGCACTCAGTTTCACCATTTCTGCATAGTCCATCGGTTTCATAAGCTGTTCTTCCGTAGTCGGAAGTCTCTTTGTCTTCCCATTTCTGAGCATCTAAAGTTCTAGCTGCAGTTGTTGCATACAGAAAAAGGCTACTCAGCTTTTGGGGAACCTCCATCCTTATTATTCCCCCCCACCCCAAGGCTTCGGGTTTTGGGGAATGGCCAGTTTAAACATCTTTTTCAATTCATTGTATATCATTTCCATAAACCCTTGGCCATGCCACAGGTCCCCCACATATGCACTGTTCAGACTCTGGGCCCCACCTCCTTTTCCCAGTGCATAGCAAACAGCTTGGCATCTGAGTACTGCAACAAAAATCAGTTGGAGGTGGCAGGCAGGTTAGCACCAGCGAAAGCAACAGGCAGTGGGCAACAGCATTGCCCCCACACCAATGGCAACTGGAGGCCAAAGCATGTCCTCTGCCATGCTGAGGGTTGGGCAGGAGCCCTTCTGTCCCTTTTTAGCAGTATCGCCACTCAGCTTACGTGGAGATGGACAGAACTGGCAAACTCAAGCCATCAAGGATGGATGAGGAAAGAAGAGGACGTGGGAGCTGCACAGCCATTTATCTGTGTCACTTGGAGGAAAAGCAGCTGAATATTCTTGTTAATGAGCAAACAAACCTTGGAAGTGCAGATAAACCCAGTGGGATTTATAAGTTTGCTTTTGTGGAAGGCAAATATTAACCTGCAGTTAGAGTCTGTCCCCATAGCTACCTTC